ACTGCAGATTATGCCAACTCTTCGTTTAAAGAATATTTTTTGAGCTTTTCTTAGAGTGCCATTTCATGATGCTACAAGCAGATTCAATTCATTTTTGAAATGTTTCTTTCACTCATCATATACAGTAAAAACTTAATAAACCCTATTACGTTATGTTCATAGATTGGGAACACTTGCCTCATTCATATCCCGGTCTGGCTTCGACCTTGTAGCGAATGATTGAAAGACATCAAGTTTACAGTAATCTTTCCCATCACATCCATTTATAAAGTGCGTAACGGGATAAATCGTATTGTTTACATCACTAGTACGATACAACATCTAAAAGGACTGCTTTTTGCAAGAGAATATTGGAATTTTCTAAATATTCCAAGATTCCTTCCCACCTTAAAGTAAGGTTCACCATCAGTTTTATTCATCCATAGCTCGACAAAAGTAGCTGCGGTATAATCTGGGTATCCTCCGGCGACGACCACTTTTGGCGCGATTCCAAAAACAGATAGGAAAGCATAGACCGTTGTATCATGCTAAGATAATTCGTTTGATCTTTGTTTCATAAAAAAGTTTCTTTTCCAGTGTCACAACTTACAGCTGAATAGACATAGTACTTGAGATTCTTTATCCATCTGCACTGAGGCCGATGTTGGTTATTCAAGCAGTCATATTTCATATACATATACATATTCATATTATTGCAAAGTGAGCCTCCACGAATCTTCTGAAGTTCCAGTCCGATATCGAGATTGTTTAACATTATTGGTTCTTTATCTAAAATGTAGATGTTTGAAAAAATTTGGGTTCGTAAGACGTCTTTAATGTATAGGATCCCAAAAAAGTGATTGCTGTTTCCTTAAAAATCCTATTTCTGGAACTTTTTTAGGACTTCATAAGTAATGTGAAGGTACGTGTACTTCTCCCTCTATGGAATTTGTGCCTTTGACTATCGTGACAGGATCATTTGAGGTTGCAAATGGCTGTAGCGTTGTCTTTAAGCACCTAACCTAGCACTGTTATGCAACCTTACGATAACAAATAGTTATCACAATTATTTGCCGTATTAGATAATCCCATACAACTATGCAGGGTTTTTGGAGCCATCTCTGAACCAATGCCATAGTACTTTACGTCAGCTTTGAATCCATATGCAATTTTCCTCCATTTCTACGATAAAGAAAGGAAAAAACTTTTCACTGAGCTATTCAAACTACCCTTCAAATTGCACCATTAAAGATTTGAA